CTGATTCCCGCCCCGATGGCCAGCTGGCCCGCAGCGGTTCTCTCCCCCTGCCCTCCAGAGTGGGCCGCCCCCGCAGGCACAGCTCCCGGAGCGGGGCGAGGTTTTAATTCGTGTCAGACAGACCTCTCGAAAGGTGTATCTTTATTCCCTGAAGCACGCCCCGATGGCCAGCTGGCCCGCAGCGGTTCTCTCCCCCTGCCCTCCAGAGTGGGCCGCCCCCGCAGGCACAGCTCCCGGAGCGGGGCGATGTTTTAATTCGTGTCAGACAGACCTCTCGAAAGGTGTATCTTTATTCCCTGAAGCATACCAAGTGCTGCGGCAGACAGCCCTGTCTTAAGGGTCAGCTCTGTTAACACACACTGTCATGTATTGCACAAGTATCTTGGATTAAAACTGAATTTGAAAAGCTCCTTCTCTTTATGCTTATTCCATTCTATTTGGATAATACACAGCCTACCTAGTTTCACTCATTTATCGTCGATTTCATTTTCTGACTGATATGGTACTGGTCCGGTAATATCTGGTTAAAGGAATTGTAACTAAACTATGTAGAAACGTATGTAGTATTTTAGTTTGTTACAGGACTAGTGGGGGGGGGTTTCCAATAAAAGCTTTTCAAGAGTTTATTCTGGGGCAGACTTGATTTGATGGGCTCTTTTTAAAATGGGGTATGCACATGTTCAGAAGAAACTGTCCAGGTCTCCCAAAGCATTGCTTTTCATGGCAGTTCAATTGAAATAGTGCAGAGAAGCTAATAATCAAGATACAGATCTCTGCACCCTACTCCTGGTATGTAGCAGTAGGAAGATGTAATCTTGTTAATACTTCAATACTAAAAATGAATTTCCCCATAAGTGTAACTGTAGGAAATTTTGATACAGCAATACTAAAAAATGAATTTCCCCATAAGTGTAACTGTAGGAAATTTTGATACAGTGGTCAGTCTTGCAACTAACCTGCAGGTTTCTTAAATGGGAATGCTGCAGACACAATGATAGTTGGGTTGCACCTGTACTAAAACTGTATTATTCCATTATCCTGTTTTATATTTGATATATATACCACATTACACAATTCTGAAAAATATTTTAGGTATCTTACCCCCATCATTGCCATTCTAGTTTTTTATTCCCTGCAGCTTCAGTATCCATACTAGAAATTCTTAATTTTTGTTTTGTTTTTCCACTTGCTGTTGTACACTTCCTTCCTTCAACTTCTAGGATTCTGCATCTTGCACAGTCTTTTCATCTAATTTAAAGGCACAATGTTTTCAATTTTTTAGGATTAATGATACATACAGTGGTGCTGGAGCCAGGAGTGGGAGTGAGGGGAGGCAGTTGGTGGGAACATGGCCCTCCCGATTTATCAGCTTCCATCCTGGAGCTGCTTTTCCAATGCCCCAGAACTAGTTTGGAGGCCGATGCCCATGTTAAAAAGTAGAGTAGGATTCCAGCACCTTTGTGGATCCTATAGTAGGTTTAAAACTTTAAAAATTATGTGGTTTTTATGAAGTTTGTGTGGCTTATCTCTTCCCTCCAAAACTTTTTTTTTTTAAATATATAAACTCATGCTAGCAACCCAGTGTGTCTGGGTCGATGGCTAGATTCGCCCAGTATAAGAAATTAAAACTTCAGTGGGGGGAGGAGGAAATCAGTTAACTTAACCAGTGGTTCTTGTGTCTATAAAGCTGGAAATAACCTAGATTATTGAGTGTCCTCCGTTCCTGTAGAGAGAGAACTGAAAAAGGGTTAGAGTACCATGTGTTGATGGTGGGTTTGTTTTGTTTTGTTTTTTGTTTTTTTAATCTGAAATAGGCAAATGAGAACCTTTTCATTCCCCTTCTGGTTAGCTGATTTGTGGGGGGGGTTTGGAGACACTTTAGGCCCCAGGCCTCTATTCAGGTCTACCTGCTCCAATCAAAATGCAAGATTGGGGCTGTTAAATTACATCTGTAAAACTGTAATATCCCAAAATTAATTACTTTTTAAAATTAATTTTTAAAGACCGTTTTGCAGTCACACAAATGTTGGGCTCTAAGTACCGTATTTTCGGGCATATAAGACGACTTTTTATACTAAAAAACATCCCCCAAAAATCGGGGGTCGTCTTATATGCCGGGTATAAACATACTGTAGCTTTGGCTACATACAGAACGTCCCTATTATTACCTTTTAGCCCGCTGGATGTGCCCTAATACAGTACTGTAGCTTCGGCTACATACAGAACGTCCCTGTGCTGATGCTGTATGTACCACACTGAGCCAATCACGGCAAGCGGTGTCATCTATTAATGCATACAAAGCCTGCTCGGATTGGCTGAGTCAGAGAGGCGGGCTATTACAACCTTTGCCAATCTGAGCAGGCTTTGTATGATCATGATGAGGATTTTGAAGGATTTTAAGTACCGGTCAGTCAAAACCGTTTTCATTAAAATTATTTAAATCAAATCTGATGTTATTAAATGGTGTTGCCTCGGAAGGGGGGGTAGTCTTATACGGCGAGTATAGGCCAAAGCCTATGTTTTAACTGGTAAATTAGGGGGTCGTCTTATACGCCCAGTCGCCTTATACGCCGGAAAATACGGTAAGCTTTCTAACCACCCCACAGTGCCTTTCTTATTTGCACTGGAAACCACATCCTCTTCTTGATTCCTTCATTGAGAAGTATAAACTTGACAATAGAGGAGTGCTTGAAAATCTTAAGAAACTGGAGGGCTGATTCACTGATTTCAATGGTGCTGTATCTTCCCATTGATTTCAGGAAGCAATGGACTTGATCCTGAGGTTGCTGAGGGCTAGTGATTAAATATAACATGCTTTTGTTTTGTGTAATTCATTTTTAGTGGATAAATGTTTCTCAACCTTTTTTATAAAGTACACCTTTTAAAAAAAAAATGTAAGTACCCCCTTTTTTTAAAAAAATACCCCCAATACCTACAGTTTTCAGACACACCATACATTTTTCTTCTACAATTGCAACACATTTGTTTAAACATCTTAATCCTAGCCGGGCAGATGAAGAAATTTTTGTGTAAAAAGTTCAAAAATAATAAAAGTGCTGTAAAACTTAACACAAATTCAGTTTTCTCCAAATTTCAGTTGTTGAGGTACCCTTCCCTCCCCCACCCCCAAACTTCCCTCGAGTACCCCTAAGGGTATTGGTACTACTGGTTGAGAAACACTGATTTAG